GTTGATTATGAACGTCTTTTCACTTTTAATTTATGAGGTTTACGTTTATGGGTGGATTTGACAGCGACAATGTTTCAAAATTAGGAAGGGAAGCAGTGATTATTTGATTATATAAACGCTTCGCCACTGTGCAAAACAATCAATTCCCATTAGCAGTAAGTGCGGTATTCATTACTTAAGACATGTCAACAAAATCCAATATGGCCGCCGTATCCATGGAAACGAAGCTTTTTTTCTCAAATGTGATTGCGGTTTTTAAGACTCCTTATAGTATGCTTGTTATATGTGTGAAATGTGGTAAAATTCGGTCCAGGAATAAGCGAGATAGCCTTTAGGTGTACCCCCCCCCCTTTCCCTTTTAAAGGGTGCACATTTTTTAAGGAGCCTGAAGTCACTGTAGTTTAATTTTCAGTTTTGCATTAGTCTCGTTTAGATCTAATCTTGGGAAAACCTGTCTTCTAAGACGCCATTGTAAACAAGTGATATTTCCGTTCACTAGCCGTGCGCACTGTTGTTTCCACACTTTTGAAATTCTGGAGTGTAAAACTACAAAAACGAATTAAAGAATCAATCTATAAATCTATTATATTTGGCAATTTGGAAACACATGTGTGACTTTTCTCTCAAGATTTATTGCTCCATTCCAGTAGAGTGTAAATATAGTAGGCCAATGACTTTCAGTTGATGTTAATGCACCGAACAATTCTTTCATCGAAAGCGGGTCCAGCTAGTATATTATATTTGGCAACTTGGAAACACATGTGTCGCTTTTCCCATAAAACTACGACAGCTAGAGAGTTGAAAGTTGGCAAGTACCTGCGAAAAAGATAGATAGGTCCCCATGACGGAGCCCGATTTCATATTTATTAATTTCCTGAATTTAGAAAAATATATTAGATACAAAGTTCCCGTCCTTCTTTGGCCTTTGTGATCATTCCACTGAGAAACGAAACAAATCTGTGTAACTGTCAATTTATAGCGGAAGTGCCCGAAGTGATATTTCGCGAGGCGCAATTTGTTTTGAGAGCTTAGATCTAGACCTTGTAATTTTTGGCATCTCTCAAGATTTATTGCTCCTTTCCAGTAGGCCCTAGAGTGTAAATATAGTAGGCCAATGACTTTCAGTAGGTGTTAAGGCACCGATCATTCCTTTCATCGAAAAGGGGCCCAGCTAGTATATTATATTTCTCTCAGCCCGAATTGACTCTGATATTGATAGGCTGGATCGAAGCAGCCCGTCTACAAAAAGACTTTGATTCAAATAATACATGTAGTATGTACGATACCGGGTACGAGCATAAAACATCTACAACGACAGTATACGATCTACGTGACATGTGTGTATCTCAAAAATAAAAAAACCAAGTGTTAACACATGAACCTCTGAATCGCCGTTTTTAATTTCTAGTACAGGTGTATTTCCCCTTTCAAAACTGTGAGGTTAAATATTTAATTAGGATGCGGGACCTCCGGATTTAACGTTCATCTGTTAAAGGACAAAGCTAACAAATGTGTAGGTAGCCTTCAAACCCCCCCCCCCCCTCCCCCTCCAAAAAAAAAAGCATCAACAACCAAACACCAAATGAATTTCTGTCTCAAGTTGGGCTCTCTCCCACCTCAAACTACAGCGTAGGAGGAGTCTTGCACTCACAGAGAGCACATCCTTCGCTGTCCAACACGTAGCCCGTGGCGCAGTATATGCGACACATCGGGGTCTTCAGGCACGGCCGGCTCGCGGCCTGTCTCCTCACGATGATCGGGAAACAGATCTTGGAACAGCCGAGCTTCATGCAGGTCTCATACTTGCCACAGTCCGCGTTCTCGGAGCACTCAGTCTTACAGGTTTCCGCATTTCTCTTGTCTGTTGACTCGGCGCTGGCCAGAGCTGGAGGAGTAATACAATTATTATTATTATTATTATTATTATTATTATTATTATTATTATTATTATTATTATTATTATTATTATTATTATTATTATTAATTATTATTTTTATATTAGGGCAGAACAAACGCGTATGAGGCCTCTAAAAGAAAATAGTATTATATGTTGTAATAGCAGTGATGATGATAATGACAGAAATAATAACAATAATAATTACAGCGATAATATAATACCAATGCTAATGCTAAACAGTAACAGTAACTGTATGACAATAATAAATTAAAACTACGAAGGTGATCTGAATTTTATTCCCAGGTGGGGATAACTCTTGGTACATGTATATATCTGTCTCTCTGGTGAGATACCGTATCTCCCTCCGCCAGGTTTGGCCCTGACACTACTGACAGGCAGCCGGGAAACCACCTTTTAACAAAATGATCGAAAGTGAGTCGATGGACGTAAAACACTCACCTTATAAGAGAAAAAGAAAAGAAAAAAACCCCGCAACTACAATGACGATAATGATAATGACAGTGATAACAAAAATGATAGGCCTAATTATAATTTATAATGTCAATATGATATTAAGCCTACTATTAGTATCTATAATGTTAATTATAGCATTATTATCTGAGTACCTATAGTAATAACAACAAGGGGCAATGATAGTGATAATAATAATACTGATGTTAAAATATCATGGCTTAAAAATAATAATATAATTTAAAAGATATTTATAGCCTAATATGAAAAAATAATGATAATGATAATATTAGTAATAATATTTATTATTACTATTAATCAGCATACAATGTACATGTATACGTGCGTATGGGCCCGCGTGTGTGTATGTTTAAGCGCTTGTCTGCCTGTCCAACCCCGTGTAAAGTAATACATACGTATAACATTTTCCCAGCGTTTCGTATTCAACTTTAAAGAAAAGATTAGCAGTATACATCAGAATGGATATAAAGTCGAATTGTCTCTAACGACAACCTAAGGCAACTACGTGTACTTGTACCAACAGCTATACACTTCTCTCGTTAGTTGTTTTTTTTTCAGTTCTATAATGACACTGTCCATGATAGCCATTTTTCTCCTTGACAATGGGTGGTCGTCTTGAACAAGCTCGAGTGTACACACTTACAGACCAGAGTAATTTTTTAAAAAGCTAATCGTTTTAGACAGTTCACCTGTTCAAGTTAATTATTATTAATCTAGAGTACGATGGAATAAAAACTAATCCAGAGATGTCAACTTACCTACAAAGAAGATCATTCCCAGGAGACACAAACAAGACTTCATGTTGAGAGCGGTAACAGGAACAGTATCGTAGTAGTAACAGCAACAGAGTGTAGTCACAGCAGTAACAGTAACAAAATCAGCAGCAGCAAAATCAGACGAGAACAGCCTGTTGTCAAGATGACGATGTAATTTATGGCAATAAATTTACTGTATCTTGCTGTACATTGTCGTGATCTTCCTCTGTTACTGCTTTATTAATATACTGTAGTTGGTGTCTTACTCTAACCGTGTATCTGTTAGATTAGGCCAAACAACTTTAGTTTGTTTAGTTTTAGTACGTCGTTTTTAGTTTAGCTGTTGTCAGGTTTTACGGCGCTCGCAACTGCATAAAGTCATAGATCTATGAGCGCCAAGGGGTGAATGTTAGCAATACATGTATAATAAGTATTATGATACCCATATACAAGGAGGATACTCAATAGAAAATGTTGAGCAGTTCTGGGTGCATAAAGTTAATAAGAAAGAAAAGGTGATGGGGTTTTTTTTCATTCATCCATCCAGTGCCAGGTCTGCGACAGACATCGGCGACCATGGTTGTCCATTCATTCCTTTGCTCGGATGCTCTTAAAAAAAGCTACGTTTCCCTGATCTTTCACCGTTACCCATTTGTTTAGGTTCCCTAAGTAGGTTGCCCTTGGCCTACCCTTGCCTCATTTGCCTTCGATTTTGCCAGTGAGAGCTTGATGTTCAAGACCCCTGTGTCTATCCAGGTGTCCCAAAAACTGCATTTGTCGTTTCCTGATTGCTTTAACAGTGAGCGTCCACGAGGGCCTCATCAAGCGCTACCTCATTTGAATTCTTTTTTTTTTTACTTTCTGAAAAAATCAGCACTCCTGTTACATACAAGGTTGTACATGTAGTCGGCCAATGGAAAATGTAGCCTAGGACGAGCTTGGTGTGTAATTCCTATCTCGTTATCTAACCCTGTCAGATCCTTATCTTGTCCTTGAATTGGCATGATTGGCCGTAGCACACTGTAGCCTACTGTCTTGTATATACATATACAGTAACTGTATGACAATAATAAATTAAAACTACGAAGGTGATCTGAATTTTATTCCCAGGTGGGGATAACTCTTGGTACATGTATATATCTGTCTCTCTGGTGAGATACCGTATCTCCCTCCGCCAGGTTTGGCCCTGACACTACTGACAGGCAGCCGG